ACGAGGTAGTGGCTTACCGGAAAAGATTCAGCATGTCTGACCTGGTGTCTGGCTCCATGGGGTCTGCCCCATTGCCCTCTTCCCAGCATTCTATTCTGTTTACTCCGCCTACCTAATTTTCTGTCCTATCAAAGGGCCAAGGCAGTCTCTTTATTGACCAATGAAAATAACACAATAGACAGATAACCCTCCTCCATCTTTAGAGTCTGAGGGTTGAGTCTCTGCTGGGACCATATAGATCTGAGAAGCCTAGACTGCCACCCAGGGCCATGGTTTCATCCAGGCCTGAACTACTGCTAGGGGTCATGCCTGGGTCTACGGCCCAGCCACAGCCCTGGTCTATATTGATGTCCATGGCTCCTGTTACCATAGAAAGCAGTAAGGGTAGTGCACAGTGTGCTACACAGACTTGGTCCTGCCTCTCACTTGGTCCTCATCAACTGCAGCACTTGGGAGAGTGGGCCCTGAAGCTCCCCAAGGCAGCACAGTAGAGTTGACCCCCATCGACGGGGGTGATCCGGAGCGGAAATGTGCAAGGGCGATCTGACCATACCTCTCATCTGCAGTATTATTAGGTGTGGGGGAGATATGCTCCCCCTTCCCTCACTGCCTGTGGTGGGTGGGACAGCTGACTGCCCTCCACTGACAGCAGCACTCAGGAGAGCAGGTCTTATTCCTCACCGGGGCAGCACAGTAGACCTGTTCCTGTTAGTGGGCACAGGTGAGTTGGCCCAGAGGACCAGAGAGCAGGAGAGTTGTCCCTGCCCTCCCCATCTGCCAAGTAAGGGCATGGGTGAGGAAAAAATGTCCCCCTTCTCCTTACCCCTTGCCACCTGAGGCAAGTGAGAGAGCTGGCCCTGGGGTCACAGGAGTGGGAGAACTGGACCTGCCCCTCACCAGCTGCAGCATGTGGGAGAGCAGGTCCTGCACCCGACCTGGGTAGCATGCTAGAGCTGACCCTGTTAGTGAGGGCACTAGGTGAGCCAGGCCTGTGGAAGTGAGAGACCCATCCATCTCCTCCTTCATATGCCGTGGTAAGTGGCATATGCTGCCCACTCCACTTTTGCCACTGCGACAGGCAGGAGAGCTGGTCTCTGGAGTATGAGAA